ACTGTAATGTATAACTGCTAAATAGGAACACAATACTAAATACTGACATAGATACAAATGTAAATCCTGACACACCGGCACTCTTTGCTGTGGTTTATAATGTGTGAAAGTGTTGATTACACTAAGAGGGTTGAACTCTTCATAAGGCTTCTCTTGCAGTGCGTGTGTGTGTGTGTGTGTGTGTGTGTGTGTGTGTGTGTGTGTGTGTGCGTGTGTGTCAGCTGATGCCTGCCTATGAATAAACCTTTTTTAGTTAAGGTTGTCAGAAAAGTGGCTACATGAGAACACTTGTCATTATATCTGGATATGCTGTTTACTGTATCCTCCAATTTGTAGAACACGTGACACGTCTGATTGTGGATTAGATATTTTCACACGTGGAAATCTAACGTGTATCCATATTTATATCTGTACATTTCATTTGGAGATGGCTGATGGACGAAACTGCCCAAGAGAGAAAGGCTTCATGTGTTGGGCTCGTGACTGGACTGAATGACACACCTCACTCTGAATAATGGAACCAAATGAAGAAAGAAACACGAGCGGATGAAACTGTAGACTTCTCCACACTCATTATTCCAGATTTAGTGAAGTTATTGTCTCAGAGCTTTAACGATGACGTGTTATTCTGTTTATAGCGCAGTGTTATGTTCGTGTTGTGAAGTAGTTCTATCTTCAAACGGAACCTGAAAATAATGAAAAAAAGAAACAGCTGGGATGTGGGAACATTTCCAAGATATGACAACACATTCATTGCAGTTAAGGTTTTAATAATTATTTTTTTACATTTATTTTCTTCATTTTTATTTTTCATTTACATGCGCACTATTGTCTAAACATGTATGTATCAGGGCAACATGAAAACACAGGTGCAAGTACAAATAATTAAGACTCAGCCAATAGCTATTTAAAAAAGAACAACAACAAACCATTAATCCAAGCGATAGCCGGATCCACCAGCTAGACTGTAAACACACAGACAGGAAGTCATTGGCTCTCTGTTTAACTCGCTCTACTTTCTCTACCACTGGATTAGTAGCATTTCTAATTGATTATAACCAAACAGTAAGAATTAAAGGAGATCCTAACATCAAAATCTCCAAGAAATAATGATCAAACCCACATTCTTACTATTACAGTCATATTGAGCACATACACACGTCATATCTTTAGCAATGAGACCGATTCAGAAATATGAGTCATAGATTAAATATCTTTTTGAAAAACAACTGTTTTGAGGAATACAACTGAAAGGAGGAAGAGTGATCTAGCACAACAAACATCAGTAAGACCATAATGGAGCTCAGAATAACATAAAGTAAAACACAGTTCATGATATGAAAGCGACATTTTGTGATTGCTTTAAATACTCAGAACATTGTACAGAGTTTGGTTGGGAGGGTTTCTCTTGTAGTTCTAAAACATTAGAGATGCTGCCTAAATCTACTAAACATATGCTAATAATCGACACATGATCCCACTCACCGTAGACATCTTGTAACACTGCCGCTCCTCTCCCTCTCTGCTGCAGCTGGATGAGCCAGGTTGTTCTTATAACATGAGGGATGCTATCTGTGGTGGGACAGAACGCGACCCCACTCTTTGAATCAGGATCAATACATTTCAGTTTGACCTCTGAACAATTCCAGTATTTGAAACAAACCGTTGAGTTGTCTCCCAACGTCACTTATGATTTTGCGTTTAAAAGACTAAGAAGCTAAAAACATCATGATTGCGTTCTAAAATCTGGTGGTTAGGCTCCATGGTGGAAGTTAGTTCCTTCAATTAAGAGCTGCGTATGTACACACGGATGTAAAATTGCACATTATGATTTGATTTGAAGTGTTCATCTGCTCATACACACAGGCTGATAATACTTATTAGTCCCTAATTCACTGGTGAAAATGTTGAGAAAAAAAGAGCCAAGGTGTCCGGTAGAGTTAGTGTCACTCCTCTTCCTCCTCCTCCTCAGCCCCCTCTTCATCTCCAGTCATCGGTAAAGCTGCCGCGGGGGAGCCGCCCTCTGTCGCCCGGTTCTCCTTCTTCCACTTCATCCGCCGGTTCTGGAACCAGATCTTGATCTGCCTCTCCGTGAGGCAGAGCGCGTGCGCCACCTCCACCCGCCGCCGCCGCGTGAGGTACCGGCTGTAGTGGAACTCCTTCTCCAGCTCGAGCGTCTGGTGGCGCGTGTACGTCTGCCGCCCGCGCCTTCTGTCGGCACCTGCGCACGCAAGGACGCAGGTTATATCACGGATGAATCAGAGACAGCAGTTACTATGAACAACAATATCTTGGGTTATGTGAAATATTGTGCTTGGAAAATGTCTTTTTTTCTACCGTTAAATATTGAATTCCTTTTCCAGCAGGAGAAACATGTGAAACGTTGGCAGCGACAAAAGGTAGTGAAACCTTTAAGGTTAAACTCATTCTCCCGTGGTAAGTTTTTATTATTATTATTATGATTTTTATTTTACCTCACCAAGGTTTTTTATTGGTTCTGTTCAATATTTAGCTTTTTTGTTAAAATATAAAAAGCTGTTCATAAGTATTAAGTACAAAGTGTGATATGAGTTCAAAGTGTGCCTCACAAAGTCAGACACAAAGAGAATGGAGCCCTCTGATTCATGCTAATGTGCGGCCTGTTTTCGTGTTAAAGGCTGCAGACTGATCAGTGCGCCCCGGTATGTCCCCCCTTCATAGAGAAATTGACCTTTAACTTAAAGGTTTATGATAATACATTTAAACTTATCATTTCATGTTTATCATTTAAAATGTTGAATTTTTGATTCAGAGTTAGTATTTTGAATTAGTATTCCAAACATTCTTCTTTTTTCTTTTCTTTTTACTTGATCTGAAAAGGAAGTTTTACTTTGAAAGAGCACAACCAATCAGTGAGCTCGGAGGACATGGTGTCAGTGATCACGCAACAGCATCAGTAAAGTTCTCTTCAGAGCTGCTGCCACCAACCACTGAATTATCAGAAATATCCTAATTGAAAAAGTCCATCATTTACTCTGTCTGCATTGTTGCTCAATAATATCACGTTTCATTACATTTCAATTCAAATAAAACATTTTATCATTCAGACATATTGCATTTGCTATGAATTTAGCAATATCATAAAACATTTTCAACCACTTCATGAAAGAAGCCTCTGTCTCAATCCATAACTGTAATCTTTGAACTGACAGAAAGAATGTAATGAACACGTTTAACCCTTTAACTGCCTCCTTGCTTGGCTTTTCACTCAAACCTGCTGCCCCTTGTTGTCACCTCCACTTCCTGGCTGACACATTTGACTTGTGGGCTTTGTAAACACCATAAAGCGGTTAAATGATGTGGTTCAACTGTTGGTTCAGCTGCTGTCTGTCTGGCCCGGTGTTCAATGTTTACCTCGCAGACTTAAAGGAGGTGGAAGCAGGTTTGAATCAGCTTCATTATTTAAGGGGGATTTAAGGAGGAAAAGTGGGCAAAACTGCTTTAATGTTGTTGAATGACACTAGAGATCTGTTTACATTTATTTACACTACCTGCCTGAATGTCTTTGGCACATTTAAACTACCTATATTTATACACTACCTTGAATTTCCACATCCTGCATTTATATTTCCACTCGCTATATTTTCATTTACACTACCTGTGTTTATATTGAAACTGCTTGTAGTCATCTTTTCTTTTATTGCACTATATGTTCGTGTCATGTTTCCTGTTCTTTATGTTCATTCTTTTGCTTGCCACTTGGGACCAGTGAAGTACTTTTTTACTCCTCAACTGCACTTTTATTTATTTTTGAATGATGCATTTATTTATTCATTTGTTTATTTATTTATGAATTTTTTAATTTTTAGATATTTTTAAATTTTATTTTTTAAATTGTATTTCATCTCTTTCTCTCACTGCTACAGCAGGAATGCTGGAGCATCACTTGATTTGATTTAAAGAAGAAAAAGAAGAAAAATAATCTCCCTTGCTCCTCATGTGAAATGTGCATGAGTCAGCGATTGAGTAAGAACAGCAGAGAGCACGTGACCTTCTGTCCTCACGAGGTCAGAGCCTGAAGGTTAAGGAGAAACTGGGTCACATTTTCAACGGCCACGCAAACCTCCAAAAACCCCTTCCCTCTGCAGAGTCCTGTGAAAAAAAGAGAAGCTGAATCTCTTCAGGTGAGTTGGAGCAAACTGGAGCTTTGAGTTGTGGATGTTACAGTATATTCAGAATCAGAAACCCTCAAACTCTTCACAGATGAAATACACCTGGTTTGTAGATTTCTGCTGGGGCCTTTAACATGAACCCTGACTCACACTGCAATAGACAAAGCAGCTCTGTGGCCGTCTGTGCATGTACATTAACGGCATTAGCTGCTGTTTAGTGAGGCCTCATAAAGGTGTGATGGAGGATTTTCTGCAGTGAGTAGATGGGAGCAGCAAGGAGGATGAAGACACGGGGAGTACAGAGTGATGTCTGCTCATCTGATGGACAACCTTCAGTCTAAATGTTTTCACTTCTCAAACGGGAAACACGTCAGATGAACAGGCTAAACACTTTCAGTAATAGCTGCCATGGTTTGGATTGATTTTTTCTGAAATGTGATGTTTGAATATGCACATGAGGCATTGTCTTCTCAAATATGTGCCATTTTAAATGCATACATTTCCAGAACATGTGAAATTGGATAAAGCCAGCTGGTTGAAATTTGTGTGTCACTTTGTTGACATGTTAGAGTCTTTACAGGGAATTTCATGAATAAAACGATACTCTCAACAAAATGCTTTTATTAATAGAATGTTGTATAAATCAGGCTATGAATGAGTGAAACTGTAAAGTTTTGAATGAAAGTAATACTGAAGTGAACATTTCCAAGAGAAACGAGATATATATATATATATATATATATATATATATATATATATATAGTAAATGTACATACAATTAAAAGACACAACAGGTGAATAGGGTAAAAAAAAATCTAATATCACCATGGAAGTTTTATAAAATGTTATGCTTAAATATGCAAATGAGACATTATTTAATACCTTATAAATTTAGCAGAAATCTACAGACGCTAATAGACAAAGTAATATAATAAACACCTCAATGTGTATTTTGGATGTTTTCAGTCAGAAAGACGACAAAATCTCAGATTTGACCAGTGACTGAAAAACAAAGATTTGTGTGTCTCTTAAGCCACTGCAGGCAGGACGGACACTGAGCTCATGTCCTCTGCATTTTTTTCTGGGAATTTGGGGTTCTAGCAGCCACAGGGTGAGTTTACTGTCTCCAGACATGATGGGTATTTTACAGGCTGATCCAATAGACCTTTGACTACTTTTAGACCCCAACATCAATATAATAATCAATTAATAGAGGATAGGGATTGGTTTTGAAAACCTTACCTTCGTGGATATATTCATGTTTTTTTAATATAAAATATAAACTTTTCTTGATTCAAAACAGAAACTATCTGATCAAAAAGGTATGGAAATGGAATGGAAAGAGTATTATTTTCATAATATTAAATTAAAAGCGGGGGGTGAGGGTTAAAGGGCTCTGGGTCGTGACCTCATAATGCTCTGTACAGCCCTGTATGACAAAGACATGTGATGTACAGAACTGAACGGCTCTGTGTATTTCTGTCTGTGTGATGGTGCGTTCAGGCCGCCCAGAATGCAGTGCGTTTAACTAGTGCTACGAAGATACACTTCAAATAGGATAATAAAGCTTTTCATTTGATATGGCTTATTTCTACTTCCTTTTATTTATTTATTTTACTGTTTCTCTCTCTTTTCTTCCTCTCTCTCTCCCCCACACACACACCCACACACCCACAGAGGTAGAGTCACATTTGATGTGCTTTCTCGCTGCAGCTCTACTTTTATCACAAGTTAGTTTCTATTAATTACAGAATACATCTTTGACCCCTGTTGGTTTTTCCATTGGTCGACATTATATTCACTCTCCGTTGCATGTTTTACTATGGTTTTATTTAAATAATTTCATATTCATCTGAAGAAAACATGTATGGAAATATATCCAAATTGAGCTTGTTCTGTAGTAAAGGTCAAACTTGAGTAAAATAAAAGAATGTAGTGCGTATGCGTTACTGCTATTAGCTAAATAATATTCAATGTTTTAGTATTTGCACTTGCATTCTCTGTGCAATGAGGGCTTGAGCTCCCAACCTCAAATAAAATAATTAAAAAATCACATTATTTGGTAGCATTGGCAGCATTGGAGCCGGAGACACCAACAGACTTAACAAACTGTTTAAGAAGGCCGGCTCCATCATTGGCTGCAAACAAGACTATCTGGAAGAGGTGGTGGAGAAGAGGACACTGAAGAAACTATTATCCATATTGGATAACCCGGACCACCCTCTCCACCACCTACTGCAGGGACAGAGGAGCACTTTCTCCAACAGACTGATCCAGCTCCGCTGTCACAAGGACAGATACAGGAGAACATTCCTTCCCTCTGCAATATCACTTTATAACAAATCACCGCTGGCCAGATCATCCTCCACATAATTACACACTGCTACACTGTCGTTTGCTGGGGTTGATATTTTATTTTTGCTCTACTGTTTTTCACTGTTTTTTCACCTAGTCAGTTAATTTTACACTATTCTATTTCATTGTATATACTGTGCATTTTTGTTGTTTTATCTTATATATTCTATATTCTGATATTTAATTTGTCCTACTCTGTTATTCTATTGTATATATTGTGCATTTTTTAAGATTTAATATTTTGGTTACTCTGTTACTTTGCTTCTTGGTGTGTCTTGCTGCTGTAACATACAAATTTCCCCCTGGGGATGAATAAAGTACATATCTATCTATCGAAAAAAATTCTTTCTCTATTTACTGTAACAGAATGCTTTATTTTGAAATATCTTCACAGAGTCCTGCTGTGCTTTTAAAGCTCGCATTAGATCTATTTCCTCACGATCAGGTTTCTCTACAGTACACAGTTTTCCTCCTGTCTGATTCTTCGCGCGTGAGCGTCTGCGCGTGTTTGTGAGCGCGCCACGGTTTATCGAAGGCAGCGGCCAGAATGTGTGGGGGACTGAGTGTCAGCAGCGGGGAAGTGTGTGTGATTGAGTGTGCCTAAGTGTGTGTGTGCTTATCTGTGCGCCACTTCCTCTTCTGCTGCACAGCCAGGCGTATGTGTGTGTGTGTGTGTGTGTGTGTGTGTGTGTGTGTGTGTGTGTGTGTGTGTGTGTGTGCGTGCTTGTGTGTGTGCGTGTGTGCATTGGTAATATTTTTCTGCTCTCGCGCTGTCGGCAATGATTTGTTCGCGCTCGAGCTCGAGTTGGAATTCTCTGGCAATCAACAACAAGAAGGGATTGTATCGTGCCCACACACACACACACACACACACACACACACACACACACACACACATACTGACACACACACACACATGTGTGTGTTTTATATGTGCACGTGCGCGTAGCTGTGACAGCTCGAGCGCCTGCTTTAATAAGCGCCCATGCGTTTGTTTTATTCGCCGCTGTTAACTGGAACATCCGGGACTTTTTCTCCCCAATCATCTTTGCCAGCCTTGGACTGGAATCGGATCTAAATTAAAATCTATAAATTCATTAAACAGGCTGGCTGGTTCGACCCCATATCCCCTCCCTCCTCTCAGAGTAATAATATGTGAATACAACGCACACACACTGTGGAGGGAGGAGGGAGGATAAACATGTGTCTGCCTGTTTTATTCACATATTTTATATTGTATTGTAATACAAAAAAATTGGTTCTACTTAACGTTTTTATTTTATTTTATTTTATGCTACGAAGTAATGTGACTCTTGTCAATATCTGACTTTCTTTTTGCAACTGAAAAATAGTTTCCGTCATATCCAGGTGATGATGATATTTCCCTGTGTAACATATATTTTTAATATGTCACAATATGTATTCTGTTTTATTTTATTTTTTCAAACCAAAAGCTGGGAAACAGCTTCGGTTTACTTGATAGCAAATAACACACTTTCAATTGCATGATGAATGATGATTTTCTTTTCTCTCTTTCTTTATCACGCAGCACTCTTGGACTTTGCTTTGTCGATTTCACTTTCTATCCCCCCCCCCCACACACACACAGGGCAGTGGGACTCGAGGATGGTGAGGTGATTGAAATTAATGAGGAAGCCTGCAGCGACGACGAGGGGCCGTCCAGTAGCTGCCAGGCTCCTAATGAGGAGGAACCGGATTTCTCCAAAACTATTTTCAGAGTGACTGAGTATGTGTGTGTGAAGTAATTCTGCTGGAGAGAACAAATAACAAATAACATCAAATTGAAAGAAGCTACCTGATTATTTGTAAGTTGTTAAATGGCCTCCCCCCCACAAAAATTAACCACATTTACGCATAATAATTCATATTCCACAAGCGCGCGTACGGCTTCTCCCACGAAAGGAGCAGAAAGCGTTCGTGTCTCCTTTGTGGTTCCACGTTGCTGTCTTTGAGAAAAACATCGTCGCTTTTACGCGCGTTTTACGCACACACTCACCACAATTCTCACTTTTTACGCCCTGCCACTCAATATTTCAACGTATAAAAGTGTTCTGTGTGTGTGTGTGTGTGTGTGTGTGTTGTTGTTGTTGTGGTTCGAGGCCCCGCGTCCATTCAGCATCCAGCCCGCTGCTGTAGCACAAAAGCCGCTTTTACAATCGGGGGAAAAGGGCAGGCATTCAGAGATCAAACCCTTCTGCTAATTTATAGTGTTTATAGTCTTTTAGCGGATTGTGGGCACAATGGCACAATGGGCTTTTCAGTGGTGCTAGATAGCACTGACAGAGAAACACAAGGCTATCGGGACGGTGAGGCCGCGCTGAGCAGGAGCCAAACACTGAATATGAGCGATAACCGCGAGCAGGAAGACTTTTTTCTGGAAGCTTTTGGAGGCTTTTCTTCAAACGATTTGGGATAATACTCCAGCACCCCTGCGCTCCCCTGTCCCCCCTCAAACACAATACCACCTAATGAATATTCACCGAGTCTTAAATTATGGTTTTATGGAGGTAGCAGAGCCATAAAAGGTCTGCAAAGAGAGAGTGAGAGGTTGTAAAAAAAGAAGAAGAAAAGAGCGACAGAGAGAAAGAGACAGACAGGAATAGTTCAGCTACCGGTAGTGGCCGCTGCGCAACCGGGCCAACAGTTTAAAGAGCATTTAACGTAATTATTGGGTCGAACTAATACCACCCCAACCCCTCCCCTCTCTCTCTGTCTTTCACGCACACCACTGTCATCCCTGCCCTCACCCCCTCTTTACGCAACTTCCTCCCTCACCGCTCTCTCCAACTCACCTGTGAGACCTTGCAAATGATCCCATCACCTCTCATAACTTGTTCTATTCCCATCCTTTTCCTCCCTCTCCTCACCTGTGCTTCTCATCCAGGGGTAAATCCGTGGCTCCTCCTCGTTTAACTGCCGCCGCTGCTGCTGCTGCTCCAGGCAACTCTGCCTCCTGCAGGCCGGCTCAGAGAGCCCGGCCAGCGGGCAGAGCTGAGGCCGACCGGGGAACCGCTCCGCGGCGCATCCCTGCAGGGAGAAACTCGGTGGTCCGGCTGCGGGCTCCTCAGCGGGGTTGGAAGGATGCGCGCTGGGTCGTGCGATCCCACCGCTCCGGTTCGGTCCCGACAGAGACCAACAGAGCGACGAGGAAGAACAGGAGGGGATGAAGGAGGAGGAAGGAGATGAAGGAATGGAGGACGGAGGTAAAGTGCCGCCTCTCCCACCGGAGGCATGGAGGTGATATCCGTTGGACACGAGGGCGCACGAAGAAGACGCGGCAGGAGCAGTGAAAGAAGTCGGGAAGGGAGAAGTTGGAGGGTCTGCGAAGATAAGTGTAGAGCAGCTCGCGGCGGCTCGCTGGTATTTGGAAAACAGCGCGTTGGCGAAGTCGAGCGAACTCATAATTTGGCGCCGATGATTTGTAGCCCCAGGGCGCTTTAATGTCCACTTTTTTTTACGAGGCACCGTGAATTATCGGCGGGGCATTACTGTCTAGATTTACACCAAAAAAAGCACCCACCCACTCTCCTCCTCCCCTCCGTACGTGAGTCGCGGACCACGTGACCACGTGTCCATGTGATGTAAAAATGCCCAATGGCTGACGGGGTTTCCCCAGGAAGCAATCTTACAAAGGATGAAATTAGAAGTGACCGCTGCCACACACACACACACACACACACACACACACACACACACACACAGCCACACACACAGAGCATACAATTCCAATCTATATGATACAATCAACACGCAGCAGCTCGGAACGTGTCCACTAATCACCGAGCGCATGTAGAGCTCCGAAACAAAACGGCTGAGGCTGACAAACATCCAGCGCACACTTAAATATTTTCTGTCCTGCTTGCTGGGTTGGAAAAAGGTCGATGTCGTGCGAAAAATTTGAAAAAGATAAAAAAAGAAACGGAAAACAGCATAAGATGTGATATTGATTAGAGTTGGAATGGAATGGCTCTGGGCACGTGCGTAAAGTTGCCGAGAAAGACGAAGAGGAGATGGATTTCCCTCCGTTTTTTCTACAAACGTCGGCTTATCACTCTTTGTGGAGACCACACATGCAGAAGAAAGAGTCCTACTGTTGTTTGCACCCCCTGTATAGTGTGCCGCTGCTGACGTCACGGTGGGCAGACAGACGCAGACCGTAATAACAGCGTTACAGTGGAGAGGGACGTATTTTCACTCTGAAAAATCCTTCGGGAAAACCTTTCACAGCGAGAGATTGCAGCTGCCAGGTTAATATTTATCACTGTCGAGTCATGGTTCTTGGACAATTAAAGCTGTGAGCTCAGCAAAGAAAGCTTGAATGTCACTGAGCACTTTATCATTTCCTGCAATAACGGAAAGAGAACAAGAGGAAACACATTTGGTAACTGTCGGTCGTTCGAGATAAGCCGCCGCTTTCCTTTGAGTTCAGGTCTTTGATTTGGCACCGGATCCTCCCCGCCGGCGGAGGAAAAAACTCACCAGTACACTCAGGTGCGCGGGACCGTGCTTAGATCCGTGCCCGTGATGTTGACCTTTCCCCGCCAACGCAGTTTCAGAACGATGCAATCTCTGCGCTGAGTGTAATGTTTAACAGGCCGAGGTCACGCGTGCGTAAAAACAACATCTAGTATTCTATTTCTACTTATAGCATGTGGAGCAATTAAAGGATTACAAAGAAGTGTGTTTGTGTCAGACACAAATGCTGAAAGAACCGCGTGGAACATTTCCCATGTGTGCGCGCGCTCTTGCGTAAACTACACTTCTGCTCTGCTCGTTCATCCCCTTTAAATATACATATATTTTTGTTTTACACACCAGAAACCTATGTGAGCAAAACTTGCCTGTGTTATGCATAACAGCTCAGGCTCTTATGGTGCCAGAAAGTCATCTACCTCTCCAAATAGACCAGGGCCTTGTGCATGTTGTTAACTTATAGAGTTGGAACAGAAGACGCTGGTCTGCGCGTAACGTCATATCTACTCGGCTATAATCAGAGATGTGTCCACCAAGCAGAAGGGAGTCCAAGAAAATGGTCTCTGATTGTTTTTTCTTTCATATGGAACAGGTTCTCATACTGTACATCCACATCAATAGGCGGCAGAGAATTCCTAAAGAACGAGATAAGCTTTGTCAAATTTAAGACGCAGATTCAAAGTCGGATTACAAAGCGGAGAACCGGCCTGCAGCACCAAAACTCCATCTTATTTCATTCTTTCGTCCCTCATTTACGTCTTTGCAAAGCACTTTGTTACTTGTTTTTGAAAGGTGCATGCTGTATAAACAAACGGAAACTATTCATATTATTAGTAGTATAGCATTACATTTATATATGTTACTATATTGCTTTCATGCACATTTCTGAGGATTTGCTCTAAACAAAGGCAGGTTTTGGTCAAACTGGTCGCCTTGCCTTTTACCGGGCTGTAACTCATTTGAGAGTATTATAATATAATTGGAAACAACATCGGGCCAGGTTTGGATCCAATGAAGACAGGTATGTTTTAGGGTCATAAAGGAGCTGCCATGTCGTGTGCTGTGTGGTCTGTAGATGTGTGTGTGTGTGGACGACTTCTCTCTTTAAATCTGGGTAGTTCCTTAACTTCATGGAAGTACACAAAATGTAATATCGTTGGTATATATTTGGTGATTTGATAACAGAGGGGACTCCCCATAACGTCTGCATAACCAGCCGAAGTCCAACGCATGGCGACGGATACCCGTGCGTAAATACGCACGCTCGGTGGTGTTTGATCTCCCCAGATGGAAACAATCTGACCTCAAGTCGTCATCGTGATGATGATGGAAGGCAGTGTAATAGTGAATATAGAGGGCTGTAATAATGTAAGTGGAGGTGGAGGACCGGGCCATAAATAAAGTGGTGTTTGTAAAGGATGTGGGTTGTGTGAGGTAGGAAGGGGGAGGAGGGGGAGCAGCGTCTGTTGTTTTAAGAGGAGATTTCCGAGTCGGAGCTTAAATGTTTGGCCTCGTGAACTGAACGGTTTTATCAGTCTGGGTGTTGACAGTGAGGAGAGAGAGGGAGGAAACGAAGGGGGAGAAGGGTGAATGAGAAAAGTGTGAGCAACTTGCTTCCTTTCCCACTCTTATTGATCACAGACAACTGACTTTTTTCTTCTTCTTTAACAATTGAGTGAAACAAATGTGAATCATGAAATCAGCCCCTCAACACTCAGAAAACTCTGCTTCACATGAAACGCAGAAGGCAACATCATTTATTACATTTTCGTCGTTTTTTATTTGTATGAATGTTCTCTCTCTTTTTTATTTTAAATCTGCACTGTGCGCATGCTTTTTACCCCAAAAAGAGAAAAAAGGGAAGACAACATAAAACAAAACACCATCGATCAAAAAACGAACTAAAACGACAATTAGAGTGTAAAAAAGAGACCCGACCTACTAAAACGGCATAAATAGGCAGTTTCATGTTGTTGGAAATTTCATTAATTGCTACGTCATCATCATCGTCATCATCATCATCAATCAATCAATCATTGCCATAACAACAACAACAACATATAAGTGAGAAGTACAGTAAAAAGTGCACCATCATCATTTTTTAACTTAAAAACTATACAGCTGCCAAAGATAAAATTGTTAATGATAAACTTCTAACAATATAGAAATGTTTCCACGATAATTGTTCCACAAAGAAAGGAAGCTATTTTTTTTTTTTGTTTGTTTGTTTTAAACACTAGAGTAGACTATGTTGGTTTGACTCGGATGGATCCACCGCTGCCCTCATCAGTTCTGTGAGTGTTTTTTCAAGTTCCCTTTCTGGCTTCTTTTTTTTTCCTGCAGGTTTTACAGTCAGCAAGACAGAGGCACGAGGCCCCTTTTCAGTCCGTCGCCATTTTGGAGACTCAAGTTCCTTTTCCATCAATTGAATTGTGGAGACAGTGGAGCAGTCCAGTGGCCTCAATTAAGACGAAAACAGCCCCTCACCCACCCTCGCCCACCCACACCCCAAAGTGTCCGCCACTTGCGCCCTCATTCCCCCCCCCACCCCCTCCCCTAATTCCACCGCTTTCCTCTCTACATTTGCTTGTGGGTTTTCTCGCAGCAGTCCTCATTCACGGAGGCCTGTGACCCCGCAACCGCCACCGCCACCGCGCCTCCTCCTCCCCCCTCACTGCCGCCGCCTTCACCGCCTTCGCTCGCGCCGCCGTCCCGCAGCTCCTTCTCCCTCCTCTCCCTCTCCACCGCCTCCTGCTCGCTCTTGCTGCTGGGGAACTTGTCCTTGTTGTTTTCCTTCTTCCACTTCATCCGTCGGTTCTGGAACCAGATCTTCACCTGCCGCTCCGTAAGCGCCAGCGCGTGCGACACCTCGATGCGGCGCTTCCGGGTCAGGTAGGGGTTGAACAGGAACTCCTTCTCCAACTCCAGCGTCTGGTAGCGGCTGTAGGTCTGCCTGCCCCGCCTCCTGCCCGCTGCTGTGGTGGTGGTGGTGGTGGGGAAGGGGGGTGAGGAGAGGGGAGACATGGGGGGACATTGTCAGAGGCAAAACTACACTCAAACATCTTGGTGGTCGCTGCCCTATCACCACTGTTCATATAGAGTGCTGCAGAGATGACTTGTCTTTGTAGGCCTGTCCCGGAAGTTAGCATTGCACTGGTTCACTCAACAAAAAGCCAATGGGATATTTAAAAAAGAATAACCAAAACATGTGTATGATAGCCTACTAACAAGTGTTGTTCAGCTATATCATTTTCTCAAATAAACACCACTTTTATGTTTTTTTAAGTGTGAATGCAATCGGCAGAATTAAAAAGCTAAAGCTAGGCTTTAAAGGAACTCCACCACGGTCACATGACTTCAGGTTTCAACCACTGAAGTAAAGGCGGACTGATTGGCGTGATGGCGTTTGGCAGTCTCATTTAGCCACTCGTTAGCACCCGCCTTTATTAAGAGGCGTAAAAGCGTTTAAGTTCACGAGCTACTGACATATTTTATATTGTAGAACAAACCGTTAAAATATCTTAGGGTTGTGTTAACCAGACCTTATTTCAGGTATTTTTTCGAAAAACACATTCAAAAGACCACCTGACTTCAAGAAGAGGAAACAGGAAGTGCAAAAATGCTGACTCATTTCTGGGTTTTAAGACTCATTCCTGCCCCACTCGTTTGACCCGTACATGAAAACAAACCTGTGTAATATGCCTAATATGCCACTTGATTAAAAATGCTAGAGGCTGAAGAGTGCTGTAGGGATGATGTATTTTTGTAGACCAACCCGGAAGTTAGCATCACTCTGGTTCCCTCGACAAGAAGCCAATGAGATTTCTCCATTCGATTGGAGTTCCGTGCTAAACCAGCACAGTCTCACGGAAGTTTGTGAAATAGTCACGAAATGCAATCTATTGGTTTGTGTCCAGGGACACGAATTGTCTGTTTATTTTCGTGCTGCTCAGTCAAAGTCAAATAGGAGCGTTATTCATGGAGACCCTAATTCATTGCATCCATTTGACTAAGCAACAGTCGGAACAAGTGACATATCCTGAATAATTTCAAAAAAAGACAATTAAGGGGGAGCAGGAGGGGAGGTGGATGCGTCCGACAGGCAGGACTGTCAACTATAAGACCACGTTGGAGATTTATGGTAGTGGATTGGTTGCCTAAACCTCACCATTGTTGTTTTTTTGCCTAAGCCCAACCATGATGTTTTTCCTTACCTTCACAAAGTGATTTTGTTGGCTTAACCTAAGTCGTCCTGAAAAGAAGAAAACAAACGAGCAGTTTGGGTCACTGAACACGAAACTAAAAGATTTTATTCTGTGACTATTTCACAAATTGCCGTGAGACTGATGGATAAAGACAAGTTATGACACATGTTTTGTTTAGCAATATAATCTTCAAATGAACACCACTTTCATGATTTTGGAAGCGTGAATGCAGAAGTAAAAGGCGAAAGGCGGACTAGTGAAGACTACCGACATGTTTTAGTCTCATTTAGACACTTGTTAGCAACCACCTTTCACAAAAGGTATATTTACTGACTTATATCGTGGAACAAAATGTTAAAATATCTTCATCTTGTGATAACCATTGACCTTTTTTCAGGCATCTAACCAAAAATTCATTCAAAAAACTCATTGACTTTGAGAGGAGGGAACGGGAAGTGCTAAAACGAGAACTCATTTCCGGGTTTCATGACTCGTTCCTTCATATTGCCTACTTCCATGAAAACCAAACAAAAGTTATAGACCACGTGTTTAAAATGTTGATTTTTACTTTTTACAAGTATTATGATTTAAACATGTTTTCTTTACATTTTGAGCAAAAAAACGTCAACTCAGATGATTTCACAATGATATTCATTGAATAATCCCTGCTTTTGATTAAAGTGGGGCCTGCAATGTCAATCTGGTGATTATTTTCTACTGATGTCAAAAAATACTAATAAATGTCCCTAACAAGTCCAAAAGACCCAATAAGGTGACGTTTTTATAGAACCTTTTTTTCCCCAAACAAGAGTCCAAAACCCACAGATACTCTATAACTTATATATTTTGGAATCCCAAATACACAGGTTGATGCTACAAGATGTTGCTAAATGAAACCACTGTTGTCCTTGTTACATTATAATGTACCATGTGAAAAAAGAAGTCCAGATTCAAAGTTCAGTATGTGGGTTGTAAAATGATGTGATCCTCATGTGACTTTATTGTTCAGGGGTCTAGAACACAAATACACACACACACACACACACACACACACACACACACACACACACACACACATATCTTAAACATGAATCCAACAACAGGATAACAAACTCTCAGGGTCCACTCCATCAGGAACTCTACCGCAACACACCATCAGTTAATTGCAGTTTATAACATTAAAAAACCTTTAATATAACAGAGACAAATAGCGAGCACTTACAGAGGTGCACATGAATATTTGATGCTATAAATACATCATGAACACTTTTTAAAAGGGAAAAATGAGCCCGCACCGCGAAGCTCAGTACAGAGAAAGAGTTGCCTTTAAATGAGTAAGACTTTTAATTAGAAATGGTGCAAACAATGCAAAGTGAAGATGAAGACAAGAACCAACAGATCATCTTTTACTCTGCTGTTGCTTTTCATTATCTCTGTTTTCTGCACATCTGAAAACAGCGCAGGCGCACTATACGCAATACAAAACCCATAAATACTTAATGACCGCACAAAGGTTTAGACATTGTGCTTTCTGCACACAACGCCGGACGTGGGAGAAAAAGGAGAAAAAGGTGCACGATTGTTCAATTAATAAACTGTTCAATATTAGCACCGGCATTTTATGAACCAAAGGAGGACGGACATGATGCCCTTGCAAGCTTTTTTTTAAAAAGTATAAAAACAAATATATATTTATATTTCCGACACGCATTATTCCATCAAACTGGGTGATATACAATTATAAATGATTAAAATAGCAACATTTTCCATTTTGGTAAACAGCACTGAATAACATAAACACTTTAATGTATTTTTATATGACAAAAATGTTCATATTATAAAAAAGAAATGTAGAAGTGTAGAAGTTATTTCAGAATAAACCCCCCACAATTAACCGTTACACATACAGGACATTTGTGTATGGCCTAAGAGATTACACTTCCATTAAACTGTTTGTCTTCTTCTTATTGCACCATTAAAAAGGAGCTATGCATGCGCCACGGAAATACAAATATGCCACCATGATGATAAAGATATAAAGTAAAGAATATATATATATAAGTGTTGCTGTTTCTAAATGACTGATCTAAAGAGAAATTCAGATGTAGCATGATTGGATTGTTTAGTGTTCATAACCCAAAGAAGAGCAATGAAAAAGGGAGCAACTTAAAGAGAACTGGCAGGATTCAAATTTGTCCTGTAAATTAAAGAAGAAACACACACACACACACACACACACACACACACACACACACACACACA